CTGGCCCCTGCTCCCTACCCCGCGTGCTCCCTGATTTTGCCCATGCGTAATGAGTCTGGTCCCTGCCACCCAAGCAGCCTGTTAGCAGCAGGATTTCAGTGTTCTTCATGCCTCTTCATCTTACTAAGTAGCTTACTTACATGTGATGTGCTGGGGATTGAGCCCAGAGCCTCTGGGCAAGCTATGTCCTCAGGCAGCTTTCAGTTTTATTTTGAGAAGCTGGGGTCTCACCAACTTCTCTGAGCTGGGGTGGAACTTGTGTTCCTCTGTCTCAGTTTCCCAGACTAATTTAACCTTTTGGACTTCAGCTTCTTGGCAGAATTTTCCTTTATCCTCCCAGCACAGGTCAGCTTTGTCAGTAATGGATCCCCGTAGCTCTTAGCACTGCCAGGGCTGGCACGTCACTTTGCTTGCACCGTGTATGCCTGATGACACAGCCGGCATCCATCATAGCCGTGGACAGTGGGCCTCAGGGGCGGGCGCAGTGTTCCCCGCGCCCTTGCGTCAGGCCATGCGTCTGTGCCATTAGCAAGTCCACAAAACGGATCTCCGGGAGGCTGTACAATCACTGGACGGCCGTAAGAGCTTATCTGACTCCTGCATTTTGCGTGTACCTGTTACAAGGTGCGAACTGGTACATGCTTGAAGCCAACCGATTCCATCTGTTCATACACTCGGAACCAGGGTCTCGGAGCTTTGGGCCCCTCTGCAGTCGGACCGTGTGAGAACCCAGAATTCGCAGGACGGCCTCAGCATCCCCTGTGGTATGCTGTGAGCCAGGGAGTAAAACCCTCATCTCCCAAAAGAGGAGCGAGGCAGATGTGTGCACTCGGCCTGGTCTGGGCCTCTGTCCTGGGCCGCCTCCTGGGGCAGCTGTTGGCTGCAGGAGGGGCAGGCTGCTGTCCAGGCGTAGCCAGTGACAGGCCTCGTTCTGCAGGCTGGGGACAGCCCAGGAAGAGCTGGAAGAGCACCCTGCATGCAGAGGCTGGGGCTAGGCCTCCGGCAACTGGGTTCAGTTCTTTTTTGAGCAAAATAAGTAGGAGGACAAAACACAATGCACTTGTACGATTGTTCTCCTTTGAGGACTTTCAGGTTGAGTAGTCTCATAAGCGAGGATACCTTCACAGCACAGCAAGCAGTTCCTAATTCTCTGTTCAGAATTTTCCTAAAATTCTGTAACTTTTCAAGTCAGAACCCTGTTCCTTTTCTGTTTTATTCATTCTTGCTGTAATGTTTTCATTCAAGCCTCATGTGCATCACCTCTCTGCTGTGTGTGTGGGTCCTGCGAAGAAACCAAAGGGCGAGTGACATCATCTAATCAGGATTTCTTCCGGCTTCTCGTCCCCTTAGGATACAGTGTAGTTATACAGCAGAGGGGGCTTTATGTGTGGAGTGCTAGTGACTTCATCTCTGCTTTGGGCGACATCCCTGGGAACTCGAGAAGTGACAGCTCGCAGTGGAGAGTGAGTGGAAGGCCCTGGAGGGCACAGGCGGCTGTGGCCAGGCCTCTGCAGTCCCGGGAAGTGAACTCCGACCGCACGTGTGTCCGGGTGACTGTAGAGTGCAGGCCTTGCTGCACCCCCGCCCCAGCTGCCCACCCTGCTCTCGGGTCCCCGCTGTCTGCAGGTCAGAGGTGCTTCAGACACAGCTTGAAATTGCAGCTCTCGGATGCTTGTAAGACGTGGCTGGCGTGAATGAGGAATGCTGTCTCGGCGCCCGTGTCCGATCTTGTTCCTCCAGGTGGATGGAGGGGCGGTGTCACTTCAGCAAGGTTCCTGAGAGCACCCCTTGCTGGTGTAGTGGCAGCTGTGATCAGGAGGCTAGTAACAATCAAGTGAACGTTTTCTTCAGATAGCATCTGTTGATTCTCTAATAGTATTTAGTGGGCAAAGGTTAATTAATTTGTTACACAGCATGAGACTGGCTTTTCCATGGAGGGCAAAGAGTGCTTTATCTCACTTCACCTGAATTTATTTCCTTCATCAATCTGTATTGAATCATACGCTGATGAGGAAACCAGCACGTCTTTTGTTTCTTTTCCTTTAATGTAAAATAGTGCTTTGTTCTCCAAAGCACTCCGTATTAAGTCTCCGCATGGGTGACCCTGCCCTTGGGGGTCGCACTGAGCTGCCTGTGCGAGCCTTGCTGTCTCCACTTGCGTGGGGCAGGGTTTCAGCATGCAGTGTGCAGCCACGGTGGGTGGCGGCACTCGACATGATTTCAGCATTTCCCAGGTTTTCTCCCCCATCAGTGTCGGCTTGCTCCTTTTTCCACTCATGTTAGAAAATGGCAGGGAAGGGGCTGCCCAGAAAAGCAAATCTGGTTTAGTTCCGTGGAGGGTGTTTTCTTAGACACCCTTTCTTCAAGCCCCTCCCCACCGTGGGTTACTTTCCCATGTCTAGTTTGTGTACCAGTCACAGTGGACTTTCTGAAAAGAAAATCTGGCCATGTGGCCTTCATTGTCAGGCTCTTCACTGTCGG